CAGAATATGAAAATGTAGGGTATTCGTGAGGATCCCAGAGCGATATTTTTTCTCTATAGGTAAGTTGAACACCGTAAATATGTACGCAAAGAATACCCTACATTTTCATATTCTGGCTGCGTTACCAGCGTGGTTGGTCCTTGTAGTGTAGTGGTTAACACATCGGACTAGAATACCGAAGACGTGGGTTCGAATCCTGCCAAGGGCATTTGATATTTTTCTCTTACTCTCTCTACTTCATTATATACACACCGAACGCATAATTTATTACTACTATAATTGATGAATATGTTGTTATGACTTTGGAAATGTAAACAATACGCCCACCTATCAGTAAACACGTACGTGGATTTTGTTCGGTCACGCGGATCCAGTCATGCAACCTTCTATCCCTAGTGAAGAAAGGCGAGCGAGTCGAACTAACCGCCGAACTTTCGAAGCCCCAAACGAGCCTTTTTAAGGCTTTTTCGCAGAAGAAACACGTCAAAACACATAATAAACTAGTAATCTTTACTTGAAGATAATTATTTTTGAAGGCCGACTACTGAAAAGAGATATTAGAAGCAGAGAATGTGAATTCTATCGAAAAACAGCTATCTCTGTGCCACAGTGATCTGGTTCACCCAAACGTGAAGCATCAATCAATAAACAAAATATTCTTAAACATTAGTATAAAGGCATGGTAAAAAATCTCTAAGTGGTAGAGAAACAAAAGAATATCTGTTATTTGGTGTGAACGTTTGGTCATATTTAGCGTTTGCGAGAAAAGAAGAACACGTGCTTAGTCTGTTACAAAAAGCCTTTTCTTAGAGTGGAAACAATTAATCCGTGAAACACTAATTACTAAATAGTACAAAATAGTGCTACTTAAACGATAGAAAACAATGGAATTTACGTGAAATTGTGCTATTTAGTATTACTAAAGTTTCACGGTTATATTGTTTGCACTCTAAAGTTTCATTTGCTTGGATACTCGGAAAATATACTTATCTGTTTGTCATTAAGATTGATTACTTTCTCCTCTTTGCGATTCATCTTGGCTGATCCTACTTCAAGAAGCAAGTGTTTTTTAATAAGGACCGATAAGCCCCGAAGCGACGCGAAAGTGAATTCACCTCTACGTAGCTGGATACTTGAGATAAATGGATACTACCGTCTCCAATTAATGCAAATTAGGCGAAAGGCTTATGTTAGAAATACAAAGCTAAGACCGAAGGGGAGCATGGGAAGACAAACAATTATGCTAATTGCCCAAATTCACTGTGACGTCACTGCTTGTTTATGTGGGGGATAGAATCATCGAATCCAATAGAAAATTCAACAAAATTTGCTCCTAGCTAAACAGTTTAATCTAAAATGGCCTGGTTTTCAGATATAACATGTGTTAATGTGTACTAAAAAATATTCTGAGAGTTTGCTGGCTATTCTACTTCTCTTCGTGGATTGATACGGGTTTTAGAACAATTTTCGGTGAATTTGCGGCGATTTGACCCCCTCCAACGACCATGATCCTTTGCGTTTAAACAATAGATTGTTTTGATGTGACGTCATAGTGAAATAGGGCAATTTTATGCGTATTGCAGTTTTCCCTTCCTGTGCACATTTTATGCATCATGGCTTTAGCATGTTGTTAATCTAGGTCGACCGACTTTGCTCTACTGTGCATTTTTACATGTCTATATGCAAATATAATACACATTTCGGAGTACCCAAAATCCTTTTCGGTCTTAGCTTCAATGATATGACCTTCTTGAACCTGACTAGGTTTTTTCAATGGCGCAGCGCACTGATTCTAAAAATAGCTTAAAGATTCAGACAAACATTGCATTCTGTTTAACCGCTACAAGGATTATACGAACCGATTTTATTATTTTTACTTAAAGTTACAATAATAACCCATGTAAACTAAGATCAACTGCGATCGGCTGTGAAAATTATCTGCTGAAAGTAAACTTGTAAGTTTGTTTGTCCGAATTTCGTCTTTGTCTTCGTTTTTATGACGTCACGGCTGCGCTGCGCTATTAGGTGTAGTGAAGTCACTAAAGCCATGAAGTAGATATTAGACTTAGGTCAAACGTCGAACTTCACATGAGCCGAACTTAATTGGAACAACGGATCACGCTAAAGATTATGCAACTTATGCGACCTAAGGCCCTGGTTAAACGAGGAAACATGTTTCCCTAAATGTTTCCCAAGGTGGCAAAACTGTCAGGAAACATCGGGAAACAATGTTTCCATGCGTCTTGGAAACATGAAAAACACAGCAACAACACTTTTTGCGTCTTAGAAGCAAAATTTGTTGCAGCAGCAATGTTTCGCATGTGGCTAAACTGGGAAACATCGAGGAAACATGCGCGCGGTAAACATGTTTCCTCGTTTGGCCAGGGCCTAAGTATTTGGGTAATACAGGTCACGCTTAGACTTCACGCGACACGTATGTGTTTTCAGTGGTCGACAGTTTAAAAAATCCGTCAACGGGTCACTATTGACGTAACAGCGCAGTGCAACCGTGACGTCATAAAAACGAAGACAAAGGCGAAATTCGGACAAACAAACTTACAAGTTTACTTTCAGCAGATAATTTTCACAGCCGATCGCAGTTGATCTTAGTTTACATGGGTTATTATTGTAACTTTAAGTAAAAATAAGAAAATCGGTTCGTATAATCCTCGTAGCGGTTAAACAGAATGCAATGTTTGTCCGAATCTTTAAGCTATTTTTAGAATCAGTGCGCTGTGCTATTCAAGTGTGTAGTACAAACTTTACTAGTGCTCACACTAAATCCGTGAAACAAATACTAATTTTTAGCACTAAATAGTGATAATTAAACAATAGAAAACAAAGGATTCTGTATGAAATATTAGTACTAATTAGTACTATTTAATGTTCACGGTTTTAGTGCGTGCACTCTAACATCTATTTCAGGGATTTATGAAACTAAATCACATACGAATAAGAGGAAAACAATTGCCCTATAACACTATGATGTCACGGCTTGTTTACATGGGCAAGAATAACAGGAATTTAGGTTAAATCATTTTTAATTTGAAATATTTGATGTAATATTTAGTTGTTCTTACTTTTCACTTTCTCATAAAACGAATTTTATTATGATTTCATGTGTGCTGGGTCTATTTTGTCCCCTCTGGCGACCATGATCCTTAAAACAATAGATTGTTTTGATGTGACATCATAGTGTTATAGGGCAATTAATAGTACGAAATTGTCGTACTTCATTATTATTTTTCTATTCTTTCAGGTTACACGGTTTGATTGATTGATTGATTTCGTGTTCGTGCTTCTACTTACTTACTTTTACATTTAGTCTTTTATATAAAAATTTAACATGACCACTGTCTAAGGCCCCGTCCACACGTATCCGGAAATTTTTGTATCCGCAATTTTTTTTTTTTACGGATACGGGTTGCGTCCACACGTGTCCGCAAAATTTTGTGTCCGTATCCGCAAATTCTACGAAAACGGACACGTGTGGACGGTGAAAACGATTCGAATACGCTGCGTGTGGACGCAAACATTTTCGTATCCGCAAAAAAAAAAATTGCGGATACAAACATTTCCGGATACGTGTGGACGGGGCCTAAAAATGGAATCAAATCTGGTGGTACCTGCACCAGTGACGGGATAAAAAAGTTATGTTTCTGTGATACGCAATTCGGATTTAAATGCTAATATACATCAGAGAGATCTGGAGAAGTTTTCGGAACACCGTATCTGATGTAAAAAAGTCCGTTTCTGGTGCAGGTACCACCAGCACTACAGCAAAAAAGAGTTTTAGATTGACTTTTTTCTTCCCACAAACGGCAATCGTGACCACGTTTTCCTCGTTTTCCTGTATTTTACTTTACCTCTTGCAAACGTTCTTATGGCACACACATATTCTTTTGTTTTTCTACTACTTGGATTTTTTTGCGATTCCTTTTTATTTATTTAAAAGATTTTTTTACTGGTCAACTGACGTTACACGTTTGCCGAGAACGTCAATCTAAAACTCTCTCAAGTCAAGAAAAGCATCGCTAGTTGGTAGTGCTTATTTCGAGCCCTGCTTCCTCGACTAAAATCCTCACCTGAGGGGGGAGGGGTATGAATAGGGATGCAAATCCGTCGATCCGTTAAAATGAATGCCCGAATTTGTCCATCCGCAAAACAATTGCTCAAATCCGAATCCTAAAATAATTTGACAGTTGCCTTGTTTGTGGTTGTGTTTTAGCACTTTTGTGGTTTGGATCCGCGATCCGAACTCCATAACAAGCGAAAACCAAAATCCGGGCCAAAAACAATTGGATAAATCGGCAACCCGCTGCATTTGCAAGATCCAAAAATCCCTTAAAATTTTGCTCTGCTCCCCTCCCCCCCTCCCCCCCNCCCCCCCATTTCAAGTATTCCAGGGTGCACCCTGACTGATAGCATTCCTAACTGCGTGTAGTAGATAAAGAAAACATGCACAGAATCGTCGATTGGGTGTGTAGAAAGTCTCTCCCTCCTGCTTGGCTCGCAGATCTTTCCAATTCAACAGTATCGCAACCATAAACTGCAGAACCGTCAACAACGACCACAGGAACGCCTGGAAAATGATGTTGGAAAGCCCTACATTGCATATTCCCGTCCACATGCTGGTGTGTAGGAGGTCTAAACATCAACGCCATAGTATTTTGTATTTGAGTAGATTTAAGTCTCACCAGATTTTTATGTAGGTTTTCTAGTATTTCGTTTTCTCTTGAGCTGTTGATGACAATCGAAGCAGATACCAAGTCTCCAGCGAAAACAAGGCCAACAATTTCACGGAAAGACGCAGTTGATTGGTGGAAGAGCACGCAGTCACTATAGCAACCAGCAATTACTGTCTAAAGGTATTAAATAGTCAGAGGGCATCAAAACCTAGAATTTGGTTTACCTGTTCGATGGTTTTAAGCTCTAAAAATTCTATAATTATATCATTTTAAAGCCACTTTCTCACCCATCCCTTTTTCTCCACTACCTCCTCCCCCTAAAAAAATGACTTGTAGCACGGGTAGCGCTCACCTCTAACCAATGCGAACCAGGCTCGATTCGCAGACTTGGTGTCGTATGTGAGTAGAATTACTGTTGGTTTTCTCATGCTTTTCTATGGGTTCTCAAAATGTCAACTTCTAAACTCTAATAGACCTCCTTGGCTCTTGAGCGCTCAATGTTGTCCCATTTCAGACCACGTGTCATTCCCTTGAGAATGATATTCTTTGTTTGAGTTGTATCCATATTCATGTGTCTTCTCGTGCAACCGAGAGCAATCCTTAAACAAAGAAATGATACTCTAGGGAATGACATGTGGTCTGAAATGGGACAACATTTAATACGTCAGAGCCGAGGAGGTCTATTGAAATAGACCTTTTTGCCTTACACCAGACCACGTGTTGCCACTCTTGGGGGTTGATTTTTTCATATGAAAATATTTTAAAATGTTCGTCATAAAAGAACTATTCTGAGGAGAATGTCACATGGTCTGAAATAGGAAATTTGTATACAAAAATAAAGAGGTTTGTTGAGAGGATGAAGTCGGTCTGTAGAGATATTATTTAATATTTCTTAATGACACCACCTCATCTTATTCTCCAGCTTTCCTTTCCACCCCTTCTAACTCCCCAGCAACACACCACTTTTGCCACTTGAACAAAATTTAAGATAAATAAGATTTTAGCCAATCAGGAGAGAGCAAAATTAGTAACATATTGACTTCAGCCAATCAGGATCTCTCATTCCCATGGTCATTGCTTGCTCCTCATTGGTTCAAGTTTGTCTTAAGCTTGATTTTTTTTTCACTGTTGTGTCCGTACATTAAAGTCACTACATCTATTTCCCATCCTTGTCCTCCCTCCTTTTGTCCCCCTCCAGCCCACCCCTCTCCCCTGAGTTAAAAATCACCCCTTAAAAATATAACACCTTATTCTACTACTCCCCCTAGCCTCCCCCACTAGGGTCCCTAAGGACGCCTGCAAAGGAGGCTACCCCCCCCCCCCCCCCCCCCCCACACACACACACTACCCCCAGCTAAATATTACAACACTTACTTTTCCACCATACTTTTTCTTTACGTTCACAGCAAAATTCGTAAGTTTTCCCAGTGATAAGGGATGTGCAAGTACGAGAACCAGTTTGACAGGTTCTTCCATAACCGGTAAAAACGAGTCTATCCCACTGATGCTTTTGTACTTATTACGTAATGGAACATGAAAACTGCAAACTTGCACTCCAAGCGCGCGTGGAAATAGAACCATTGCATGCTGATTATTAGCATCCTCTTTTGATAATAAATTATTTCCACTGAAAAAAATTGGTGAGTTTTTTCCTAAATGATAAATTCCTAAAGTGCCACATCCCACAAGAACACATCGTCTTGGTAAAGAAGCTTGGTTGATTCTTAAATATTTTGAAAAATCCTTCATGTACGGAGGAATTGGAGCTGATGCAGAAGATATGTGGGTGAATAACAAAGCTGCTTGCGGTTCTGTAGCTACATTTGTTAAAGAGTAAGAAAAATCAAAACATGGTTTGTGAGAATTGAGTTTGCCGACTGTGAGTGTCACGCAATCTCGTCTCGTTTTCCGAATTCGCTGAATAATCTCACGCCACAACATGCAAACACTGGCTGCAGACTCTAAAGATCTCCCTGGTGCAAAACTGAGGATGTTTTCGACGATATCGGCCATCTGTGTGAGACATTTTGCAGGAACTTCTAAAGCCTCAACTTCGTCCGCCATATTGGATTTTGAACTACTACACAGGGAGCCCAATCTATATTATTTATTTTATTGAATGATTGATTTAAAATAGCAGGATATCAAAACTTATTACTGTAATTTAAAATAAAAAGAAGAACAAAAAGAACACGAGGAAAATATTTTATTGAGAAATTAGACGAAAATTATATAAAACTTGGGCATCCTGTGTTTGTTGAGCTCGCAATGGCTTCTGGGTACATTCCAAGATGGCGGACGAACCTCACAGAACATGATTTTCTCTTCGTTTTCCTCAAAATTCAAATAATGGCCGTAAACTTCTTACACCATCTTTTTCAAACCAAGATACGATGTAGCGCTGTAAGTTCAGATGGCTACTCGCCGCAGAATCTCGTCAGTGAAAGTTGGAGGGACAGAAATCGTGGATTTTTAGCATCACATTTTATCAAACCTCCAGTTTGTCTTGTCTTCCAGTTGCCTTTCCCGATTAACGTTCATTCACTTATTATTAAACCTAAAGTTGGTTCGCAGATTTCTTCTGGTGTTGATGTGTTTGTTGCTGGAGTAAAACATGATTCTCTTGGTGAAGTAGCCGTGAAACAAGACAGAAAAAGTCGTCAAAAGTCTTCATCATCTTCAGTTAGCAGTTCCTCTAGAAATAACATCAGATCGAAAACCAAAAGACGAAAAATCGAATCTGAAATTCCATGTACAGGAGGCGAAGCTCAAGGACTACTCTCACAGGATGAAGAAGAAAAGCCAAAGAATTTTGAAGTGTTCGCTCACAAATATTCGGCGTTGATAACACCTGACTCCTTCAAGAACGAACACAGAAATATTTTCACGTTAGTAAGCCGAGCGAATGAACCTTTGGGTAGAACAATTAGAATAATCAATAAAAGATATGGAGGGCAAATAAACCCAGCTGTTGATAGTTCTGGAGATGCAATTATTCACGAGTTCTTTCAATCTCATACTCTGAATTATGTAACACATATCGTGATTGTTATTAGTAGAGTTAAAGGAAGCTGTGTCCCTGGACTAGGAAGGCTTGAAATTTGGGGCCAAGCATCGTCATGCTGTGGTGCTCATATTACTACCTACGTTTCTGATATCCAGAAGAAAATAATGCAAAATGACAATGAAACTCCTGCTACAGATGTTACTAAAAATGGAAACAATGATATCACAGATGGAGATAGAGTTACTTACCAAGATAAACACATGGAAGATGAAAAAGACATACCATCTGAGTTTGTTGATCCTATTACTTGTAACTTAATGACAATTCCAATGCTCTTGCCGTCTGGGTTAAATATAGATTTATCCACGCTGGAAAAGCATATTGAAGTCGAGAGGTCATGGGGGCGTCTACCTTCGGACCCATTCACTGGAGTTCTGTTTTCTGATGGAATGAAACCATTACCAAACGGAGCTCTGAAAGTTCGAATTGATAAATATATCTTAATGTCTGGTGTGGATGTCCGAAGCTGTGGAAGAACTGTGGGAAGGTCTGGTGAAAGTATTTTTCCAAAAACAAGTTTGAAAACTGGTTTTTCAAGCAAAGCACTTGGTAATGCATTGAATGTAAAAATGAATTGCAAATCATTACAGAACAAGACAAAGGAAAAATACATTGAAAATGAAAAGAATGGAGAAGTACTTGGGGAACTAAAACATCTTGGTTACGAGAAAGCAGATTGTGTGGATAATGTTACCAAAGATGCAAAAAAAGGTTTGTCATTCAGGATTAAATAGAGCAGTTGGTCAATAGAAAATGTTTGACCAGAATTGGTACTTGTCTGGTCAAATCTTTTTATGGCAGATCATTATGACCATTTATGTTTAGCCTAAAATGAGATAGAGTGAGATAGAGTTGTCAGTCATGACTGACAACTGAGAGGTGCCGCCTCCCCTTCCCTCACCGTCTTGGAAAAATCTTGAACCATTATCTAATATATTCTTTTATTTAAGATCAAATGTTTGGTTTTCAGATATCGTCCAATCACATGAAGAGAAAGTATCAGAGAGCCTTGATAGTGCACTAATGAAAACCCTTGGGGGTGCCTCTTTTACCAGAAGAGATCAAAGCCTCAAAGAGTCTGTAACAAGCAATAAAGCAACAGTGCCTTGTGCATCATCTCTGGTTGAGAATCTTGGAAAACAAGCTAAATTTGGTGGGTTGATTTTTGATTTATATGTGAAGCCAGTAAGACCACACCATTCAGAGCCTTCTTTTTGGAAATCTTTTTTTGTGGGGTTGTGATGTCAGTAACACCAAGTGCATTGTGGTACCCTTTTGGCAAGATATACTGTTAATAGAATTTTAAAAAAGAGAGTGAAAAAAGATAGGACTAAGAGGGGAGAGAAGGATAGATGAACTCTTATTATTATTAGTAACTCTAAGTATTTTTTTCTCTTAAAAAGTTTCTGGTTAGAAATAGAAAAATCAGGGTGTGAAAAGCACAAAACAAAAAATAAAACAAAAAAAATCTTCATATTCTTGTGGATGACCTATCTTTCGATATTTCAACTACTGAATTATCTATTTTCACAGGGATTCAAAATCAGACTTCAACAAGTAAAGACAGTCAACATCACAAGAGCAATTTTTCTAGCAGTGATTGTATTGGATGTAAGAGTCCTCTCAATGCATCCCTTAGTATGTTTCAGTTACCATGCAAACACTTAATGTGTAGAAAGTGCTTAACAGAAAAATCAAGAGTGTCCAAGACCTTGAAATGTTTTTCATGTGGTCAAGAATTTGAACGAAAAGATATTATCAGAGTTCATCAATAATAAATTTGAATATTAATTTATTTGTTGTAGCAGATTTTTGTTATTCCAGACCAAACATCAATCCCTTGAGAATAAGATTCTTTTTAAGAAGGATTAAAATTTCCTCACACTGTGAAACAGTTTGTAATAGTTAGTGTATAATTAGTAATTAGTCCTCGAGCATGAATGGGCTATTCACTCATAAGCCATGAGGACGAGAGGAGTAATAAACAGTTTGTAATAGTTAGTGTATAATTAGTAATTAGTCCTCGAGCATGAATGGGCTATTTATTGTTTTAGTCAAATCTAACTAGAAAGCATACCATATACACTCAACTGAAGAATCGTTGTCTGGTTCAGAATGGGCTATTTATTGTTTTAGTCAAATCTAACTAGAAAGCATACCATATACACTCAACTGAAGAATCGTTGTCGGGTTCAGAAACATAGAACATAGAAGCTGAGACCGAAATGGCACATGGGAAGTACGTTAATTAGATGCATGCTGTGACCGGCGACCCGTGACATCATCCACTGTTTTTAATACGCGTTTGGCATTCTAAACCGACTGCATGGATGGCGCAAATGAATAAATTATAATATAAATATGTCATTTCCAAAGTGCCATTTCGGTCTCAGCTTCTATGTTCTATGTTTCTGAACCAGACAACGATTCTTAATTGAGTGTATCTGTGAAAAACTTTGCAAGAATTTGCACAAATGTGCATAAATTAGTAAGTTTAGTAGATCTCAGTAGACCGTAGACCTACAAAACTTTTTTTTATAGCCTAGTAGTAGCCTATCCAATCAGAATGCAGCATTGATGATAGACAACTAGTTGGATTTGACTTATAGTCAAATAGATACAAAAGAAAACAATGGAAATAAGATCTGCTGACCCAGACGTCCAAAGCTAGAAGTGTCCATCTGGTATGAGGGTGTCGTCTGATGTGTTTTGGGAGTGAGCTATTTTTAGACAGTACTCAATGAGCAACCAATCACATTAATTGAAATTTCACGTGCTGAACTGATTGGTCGTTGCGAATATAACCAGCGAAAGCAAAAACAAAAGTAAAACCCTTCTATGAGCCTCTGACTGACCTCTAGTCTACTAACTATTTCACGGTCTGATGAAAATCACTCTAGTTTTAGCGAGTTTTTGTATGTTTTGTGTTTGTCATGTTACAGTGAAGACACTCGACCCATGAACACGAGTTTTTTTTCCGGGGTATTAACTTTAACTTTCTACTGTTTCAAACCCTCTACAATGAAGCATTGATTCCAATACACCTAGTCCAGAACTGAACCCACGTTCTGCTTTTGTTCGTTTTGATTCAAATCAGCGCGCGCGTGCACGCAAATATGCCGCATGCTAGGAGTGAAATTAGTATACAGAATGTTGTACTAAACGAGTACTATCAAGAGAAAATGAACTAAGAGAAGGAATCCCCGTGCCCCATCATGTGCACACTTTGATGCTATTTTTAGAATCATTGATGCTATTTTTAACTCGTTACCATGCCCGCACGATAATCATGCTTCCCTCTAATGCCTCGTTTTCGGACACGAAAAGCGCCATATTTCTCTACGTCCACAACAAAAACACAGGCTTTGTTTACTGCAAGACTGGAAGCCGTCTACCCTCAAGAAATCAACCAATCGGGTTTTTCGCTCAAAATATCTCCAAGCTAAAAATAGCATCAAACTGTGCACATGATGGTTACAAGGCTATATAGGTAGGATTCCTTCTCTTAGTTCATATTCTCTTGGTACTATGGATTGCGTACGTAAAACAATAAACACAGTTGAAAAAAATGGGTCACGTTTTGGACTGAAATACACCGAGTGATAAAAAAAAATCGTATTTCTAATCGATTGGCTCAAGAGATGACAAAAAATTGTTCACGGTTCAAGTGTCCTTTTCTCAAGCAAAACTGCGTCTTCTCAAGCATTACTGGCAGATAAAAAAATAATTCAAGGGAATGACACATGGCATATAATATAGTAACTTGGAATTTTTCTGTAAGAAAGCGTTTTATAAAAGAAAATACTACAAAAACACATTCCATTGGTAGAAAACAATTGTTGGAAAATATTTCTCTAACAAAGATGTCGTTCTGCAAATAAAACGCTTCTAAAATAACAACGCTATCTCTTTCATTTATTTACTAATAGGAAACGCCTTCGTATGACCAACGAAATATGTCAGAATTTTTTTTCTTTTTAATTAATTGAATTAGTCAGCCGAAAAAGGTTTCAAATATGGAATAAAACTAGCTATTTTTGTATTCGTAAAAAATGGCCGAAGTGATAGAAAAATAAGGTTCTACGAATTTTGTTGAGTGATCATATATTTAGAAGCCAAAACCCGGTTATTAGGCTTTATAAGCTACGGACACACTTTGAGTAACTTATCATACTTGGGATAAAATCATCCACTGAACCCGTATTAAGTACAAAGCTACTCTCTCTCTCTCTCTCTCTCTCTCTCTCTCTCTCTCTCTCTCTCTCTCTCTCTCTCTCTCTCCTTTTTGATAAATAGCCCACACGGAATTCATAATATTTCAAAATCCTAGCTTCCTCACCTAAAGACGTACCAAAAACCGACGGCTTGTCAAACTTTCAGATTTTACTTCCATGCCGCCCACGAAAAACTTCGAATTCAGTAAGCGGCTTTTTTACATTATTAAAATCAATTGTTCAAAAATGTTTTTTTCCCAAGCCTAGCCTGCGAAGTAGTATTTTTTCTTCTTTGTCAAGTAGTATTTTTTCTTCTTTTATTAAGATCTAATAAATTTTATGCAGTGTTGGAATGTATATTCGAAAGCTACTGAAAAAAGTTGAATCGGCAAAACTTTCGTTAGACCTTTCAACTCGCATCAACGCAAGAGTCTTTCAATTAAGAGATCTAGAAGAATAACTGTTTAATCCTCTTAGTTTTTTATCAGTGTCTCAGCAATGAGAATCCATCTACAAAACGTTCGTGTGTTTTGGTGATATTTTTAACGGTTGTTTAATAAAACACCGGACAAACTACTCATGAGTGATTTAAGTTGATGTTTTTATGAAATTATAATGAAAAATTCGTTATTTTGAACGTGATGGTCGCACTGATCAATCCCTCCTACGCCTTTCTTCCTCCTTGCTAAACCCAATCTTATAAAGCATAAACATTAACCTTTAATATAATCTTTAACACGAGTTCCTGTAACAATAAGCTTTGAGCTGAACAACACTTACATCACGAGGGCTGCAAAGGAAGCCATTGTTGTGTTAAGTGTTGCACGAATCGTATAAAGGTTTTTTCCGCTATGTTTTGGCCATTTAAAAAAAAATCGCAGTTCTATGTTAATCCTATAACTACCATCATTAAGGCTTTAGCAAAGCAAATGGTTATTAAAATCAAGTTTTTTATTTAAAAAATGGTCATAATTGACAGATTAGAGCTGACATTCTACGCCAGCCCAGCCGTTTCTAGTACTCATGGAATAATTAGCATACCACCGTACGTTGTAACATGAAAAGGTTTTCTTGTCAGTACTAAGACAGCAAATTAAAGTAAATGTAAGTGAATTCCAGTCATATTCCAGTCAATATATATATATTTTGTACTAGCATGGTTTCAATACAAAATATTTTTGCAATTCAAAAATTAGTTTTTGACGAGATGAAAGCAAAGTTGCAAACAGCTTTGATTTTGAACGCTAAATGATTCAAACGCTCAAACGACTCTTTTAAAATTTATTTTTACATTATTCTTTCTAGTCAAGGAACTAAATTTTGCTCTTTTTCTGACATAATTAATTATGGTCGTTCAATTTAATTTTCGAACCTGTTTATTTTTAAGTTATAATTTATCTTTTTTGTCGAAAACTTCTTCTAGCTAGTTGAAAACTGATGCCTAATGAAACAACTTGAAGCACATATTTTTACATCGAAATTATGCTTCAAAAAACTTCCTTATTAAGTTCTGCCATATATCTAACATTTTGGCTTCCTTCCTGTACTAAAGCCGTCAAAACAAAAAAAATTAATGTTTAAAAGAAAATAGGCCGGAAGGAGGCGTTCAAAGCATCTTTTCCGAATGTTTACATCACTATTTGATGACGTAGGGTCAACGCCAAGTTTTCATGAGAACAACGGTTAGAATGACGAGGGATAGGTGCATTTAGCATTCTTTAACTTCCTTTTTTACAATATTCAATTAATTACTTGATATTATAAAAGGGCTTCTATAGAAATGCTTTCTCATTTATTATGTGTGAATTCTTGATTATGGGAAGTACCTCGGGAATTAAAGGATAAAGTCGAGTGACTTGGACCAATTCAGTTGTACTACAGTAAGTACTGATATATTTTAAGACGCATGAGTAAGTAACTATTTAATCTCGATATTTGCTAGGCTGTACAAGTAACCCAGAAAAGATGAATGAGTATGCATCGTACGGCTTTGCTTGCAGAATGAAATTCTACATTGTTGTAGGATATAATCTATGTATAGATACATGTACTGGAGTATTTATACAACGAACAAGTTATTTTTCGTCGTGGAAATGAAACTAGCAGCAGCTACCAGTGTTAATCAATAAGTATTGACGGAAAAAACAAAAGAAGTGAAAAAAAGAAATAATGAAATAGACGATAGGAAAGGAT